TGAACCTCCTCGCGTTGTCTTTGCCCAGACATTAACGGCTCCTTCCCCCGATCCCTGGGTGTCCTGCTCCTACCTGCGCCCTCCCTCGCCCTCCGGGCTGTGGAGCGACCGCCAGCGCAAACCAACCCTTCCCAGCTTTGGGGCTTCTCGCCAGGAGCAGGGATTTGGGATGGGGCAGTGGTGCAGGTGCCCTTCCGAAAGGCTTGCTAAGGAGTGGCTGAGTGCAGCAGTCAGAGGAGCACAGAAACCCAAACACGGCACAACTTACCCCAGAAAATGGGTGGTTGGTTTTTTTTCCTTTTTTATTTGTCACTGACTAGGAGCAGCAATCGTGGCAGAGGGGAGCTGAGAGGTACAACACCACACTCGGGAAAACGGTCCAAAAAGTACAAAAATAAGGAAGCCTATATATAATATAATTGCAGTCAATGACTAACAATAAATATTGTAAACACGAAATAACATCAGGTGAATCTACAGTCACTCATTTCTGCTAGCAGCCGAACAGTCTTTGGCTTTATTTAACCCCCCCTGCCCCGCGCGGAGCCAACACCCACAGGAAGATGCATTTTCTTTGCTGCGGGCCAGGACTCCAGACTTGCCAGGGATGTCACCAGGTAAAGAATTTGACTCTTCCTTCCTGCAAATTATTACCCTGTGACCAGGAACTGCCCCTTTTGCCTTCAGCGACCGCTTTCTTACCAGAGCAAGCAAAGAGATCTGCTGAAATAAGGTCTTTTCCCTTCTCTGTCTGCTGGAGGGGAGGAGATTGGGGCGAGGTCGGGGAGACCAAGGCTCCCCACTTTATTTTGTTTAGTTCCAGTTTATTTTGTTGCTGTCTTGGACCTCGCCCCCCATTGTGTGGGGACTGGTGGGTTCTGCTGCCCTCCCGCGCACTGCACCTCTTCAGCCCCTGACCTCTGCCCGATAGCCTGGGAAGCGACAGCGCAGCGCGGTGGCAGCGGGCTACCCCAGCTCCAACTGCCTCGCAGCTGCTTCCAGGGCAGAGATCGGTGCCACCCCTCGTACGCCTTGGGTGACTGGAGACAACCCTCCGACCCCGAGAAGGGAAGAGGCGAATTCCTCTTGCAAGGCCTGGGACATTTGCTGCTTGTGTATACAGGTATGTATATTGAAAAAAAAAAAAGGGGTAATGATAAAATCCTGCCCGAAGTACCAACGAGGAGCGACGGGCCAGGGAGGAGAGGTGAGTGGCTCCAGCGTGGCAGCCGACCCAGCGGAAGACGCTGTTCCCCGTGCCAGCACAACACCAGGCGTGCAAAGAAAACGCATCCTGACAGGAACAACCGAGCCAAACAAAAAGCCACCCTAAATCCACGCAGCAGCGCTGGAGGGAAGAGACAGCCCGGGCCAGTCACGTGGATCAGCCTGTCCATCTCTCCCTACACATCACGGATTTGAATCTTCCCTTCATAGCAATAATTAAAATGTCATCTTCCCTTCTTCATTTTAAACACATTCACAGAGCATCCCGTGGCAACGCTTTGGGGGGAGGTGACAGCCCCACTGAAGCTGCAATGGGACTGTGCCACGAGCAACTCCCGTGCTCATCCCCTTCGAGACAAACGGGAGCGCAAACTTCTCAAAGCCTTTGATAAAACCTTCCCTACCGCCGCGGCCGAGGGCGTATCTGCGGTCACGGGCTGACACGGGTGTCTCGTGACACCTCGAGTATCGCTTTTGAACCGGGAGCAGTTCAGACCCTGCTTTATTCCCAGTCGAAGCAAAGCTTTCGAGCATTACGGGAGCCTCGTGGATATGGTGGGTCTCCAGCTGACCAGACCCACCCAACAATCCTCCCTGACCTCGTGGTTTGGATCCCTGTCCTCAAGCTTCAGCGCTTGGGCTCCCTCGCTTCGTGGAGCTGCTGCTACCCCCCCCCCGGACCAGACCGGCAGCTCCCTGCTGCCCTGCGAGCTCGGGGCTCGTCCCTCCGGCCGCAGCGAAGAAGGGCGAGGGCAGCAAGGCCACCTGCTCCACCCGTCCTCGCTAACCAGGTACCTGACCACCCACATTTGCTCCTCACCCTTCGTTGCCCGCTCCAACAATTCTCTGCGCTGGAGCCCGAAGCGGCCGCAAAAGCAGCGCTGCGTAGTCCCAATCCCTCCCGCTCTCCCCCCAAAACTACAGCTGGATAAAATTTAGCTCACTAACGAAAATACGATGTGCTTCAAAAGGGGTGCAGCTGGCCAAGGGTTTAAAAACGCAGCCGCCAAGGCAACCTTCCGCGCGGTGCCGTGGGTACAAGCCTTTCCGTTTCGATTTCTGAGTAGGCAAAGCGCCGGTCTTACCGGGAAAGCACCACACGCCACCGCTTGGTACCGCACGCGAGGATCTCGGTATCGCCTTTCGACAATTTATTTCACATCATCTAAAACTTCCGCTAAACTTGGCTTCTTACATCATTTCTATACACAGCCAGGTTTTATTTGTCATCATTGTCTTGAAGCTTATAAAAAAAATAAGCGTTTAAAATGCCCAAAGAGTAATTTTGCCTTAAAATTGTGCTACTGAACTCGACCCCCAACATAGAAGAGAGACTTTTGGTAACGAGGTTACCCCAAGCAGTATAAAAATATACATAAAAATAGACAAAAACTCTATCCTCCAAAGCGAAGGCCTGCTCGTGGGAATCATTTTCTTTTTTTGTACATCACTGGAATTTCATTATCTTCTCCTAAATATTTACAGAAACATCCCCACCCATACGCCTCCGCTCCCTCGGGCAGAGCACGGCAGCGCTTCGGGATCCCTTCGCGCAAATTAATCGCAGCTTCTCGGCGCGGCACGCAAAGCGACCCGACGGGCACGCGCGGCCCCGGGAGCGCTCGCCGCCA